AACTTGAAATCGCATCATATGACCCCTTTTAATGTAATTTATTAACTATTAGTAATTTTGTCAAAAGCAGAAATTAAACCAGTTCTGTTCTGCAAATACGTGGTCTAACCATAAAGTACAAAAAAAAATCGTAATATTCACAAGACATGTTGTATAGTCTTATGGTCATTTATGTACTGTTAGTTATTTTGTCAAAAAGAAGAACTCAAGCAATATATGTTCTGAAAGTACGTGGTACAAGTACAAAAAAAATCATAATATTCATGACATGTTGTATAGTCTTATGGTCATTTTTATTTATTATCTATTTTGTCAAGAAGCATAAATTAAACAATATCTGTTCTGAAAATACGTGGTACAAGTACACAAAAAAATCATAAGTCCTATGGTCATTTATTTACTGTTCACTTGTCAAAAAGCAGAACTTAATATCTGTTCTGCTCAGTTGTTGGACACTTGTGTATGTCATAATGCAATGTTTAAACAATTATATAAGCTACATTTCTGACACATTAGATAAGTTACTTCACATGTAAATAATGTTTATGGGTGGTTTTCTTTAGAAAACCACCCATAAAAGGGTCATTGTACAAAAGAAAGATCCATTGAAAGTGAGATTCAGAGTGAAAGAGAGAGTTAAAGCTTATCTGAATAATTTATCTATCAGGATGAAGCACAGGCACAGCAGTTGTTGGTCGAGAAGTTGATGATGGCCTGTTTTTGCCTTATCAAGTCGAGCGCTTTGCTTTGAACTGGTTTTACGTCATCCAGCCCGCTCAGACCCATGAGACCTTTCGCCATTTTTCCACATCACCAGGGTGACTTGGGTGCGGCTGTGCATGTGTTTTATGGCAGTTTCTGTTGAGGTGCTGGATATCGTCTGCCTTTATCATGCCAGGGCGCCTCTTTTATTATTTGTCTTGGATTTCTCATCGTATGTCGTGCTGTAGACGGCCTGGCTCGCAGCACATGGGAAATCTCCATATCCGTAGGCACGGTGGAACAAATTCACGGTGAACAGCACAATGTATCAGGTCAGTCATGGGGAGGAGGCAAGAGAAAGAGGGGAGTGTGTGTGCGCGAATGGGGATCCCTGCTCTGTGCCAGACGTGCGGCTTTGTGGAGCTTTCGCTGGGAATAAAGCTCTTAAAATCCGAGTGTAGGCCCTGAGCCCGGCTGTTCGGGCAGCTGGAGGGATTGAACGTAACTTTTGTGCGAGATGTCTGGGAGAGTATGACCCAGACCACACGACAACTGGTGGATGAGACAAGACGTGCCTTTATAGCATAGCTCAGGTCTCCTTTAGAAATGTTCAGATCCACAAGTAGCCCATGTTATTAATCAGAAGCAGGCGCAGATATTATATTCCCAAAGGGATAGTTCACCCAAAAATAAAAACTGTAATCATTTACTGAACATCAAGGTGTTCCAAACCTGGATGATTTTTTTTT